CACTCTACATTATCATGTCATTACAATACATTAATCACTCTACATTATCATGTCATCACAGTACATTAATCACTCTACATTACCATGTCATTACAGTAAATTATTCAATCTACATTATCATGTCATTAGAATACATTCATCACTCTACATTATCATGTCATCACAGTACATTAATCACTCTACATTATCATGTCATTACAATACATTCATCACTCTACATTATCATGTCATCACAGTACATTAATCACTCTACATTATCATGTCATCACAGTACATTAATCACTCTACATTATCATGTCATCACAGTACATCAATCACTCTACATTATCATGTCATCACAGTACATTAATAACTCTACATTATCATGTTATTACAGTACATTAATAACTCTACATTATCATATCATTACAGTACATTAATCACTCTACATTTTCATGTTCATCCCTCTTCATTATCGTGTTATCACGATGCACTTTCATACTTCAACTCAGGCAATGAATAATATGAATAAAATGTTCAAGCTCGTGAAATAAAACAATGCAGGACATAAAAAGACACAAAATGACATATGAATGACTAATAAGTACAACTGGTAAATGCCTCTGGCTACACTTTAAATATATCACCTCTATATTCTTCCCTGAATGAATATTCTCATCCCTTGTCCAAAAATAATTAGTTTCATTTCGTTTTTAAATTCCCTGTTTGCTACTTGTATTCTACGCGATTTCAAATGATCCAAGAATGAGAGAACAGTCGATTGTATCGAGGGACACATCAGCTCAAAGTTTTCTCTTTAAAAAAAAAATGACCACTGCACCCACCTGTGTTAAACTCCTGTTAAAAAAATAAACTGCTCCCTTAGAGACTTTTTTCAGATATTAAAAAAAAACAACTTACGCATACAAAATTAACAAAGACTAATCTAAATATCATCAAAATCAGATGTTTTCTTCCAGCGCCTTTTCTACCACTTTACACTCTGCTGCCATTTTCAGTCGGGTAAAGTGTGTCCAGGAACAGGAACAGCCTTAGCAAACGCGTGGCCCGATTTTGGTCATTTTGGCGTGTTTCCTGGATTCACGCGCGGGTTCCATGTGAGCACGGCATTTGGAAATAAACTTTTAAACAAGTTTTATATGACATTAAATTTCAAATTTTCTTTAATTGCTTTAAAATTACTTTCTCTTTATAGATATATTTCTTTTTAAAAATGCTCATTCGAGGAACCCGTCTCAGCAGGAGGCCAGATTGGGCCAAATCGGTCCAATCCACCTAAGGCCGGCTATGTTCGGGAAGCTGTATGGAAACATTGTAAATTATATATGTTGCGTGTTCAGGATGGAAACATCTTGAAACAAAATGTGCAGTGCGTTCGGGAAGTCGTATAGAAACATTGCAAAACAAACTATATAATGTGTTCTGAAGTTGTATGGAAACATCGTAAAGATTTTTTTCTTTCTCTTTTACAGCGTCCTTGAGGAGTCAAAATCGTGTCTTGAGAAATCTACGGAACGGTTTTGCAGTCAAAACACAGCAGAATTTTTTAAGTTGATGTATCGGGACACAATTTCTCCACTTCTAGAATACCACGGATGTGCTACTGGTAGTTCGAGTTAGAATACATTTTAGACTTTTTTTAATGTTATACATTTATTGACTTTTCTAAAGTTATTTAATGTTATGCAGTTATTCACTTGTCTAAATTTATTTAATGTTACACAATTATTGATTTTTTATATTTATTTAAAAGTGCACAATTATTGATTTTTCTGAAGTTTTTTTTAATGCATTACAATTATTATTTTTAAACACTATTACTTTATATAAGAAATATATTTTAGAAATGCATTATTTACAATTCTGTATTTCTTATTTCTTTACAAACATAACCAATCATATATTATCATAAAAGCGCAAAAAAAATAATCAAATTACCATATATAATATACTAATTAAAGTCTTCGACTGTATGATATAGTCATTTTCATGGAAAAATGTTATGCAGTCTGTGTTTTAAATTTAAAACTTACCAAGTACGAGATCATTTTTCTCGACTTATATCGATTCGAAAATCTACTGAATAGCGTTAAGCGGCTAGACGCTTATAAAAAAAAATTAACTGTAGCCACTGTCTCTATCTTTTTGTATTTTTAAAGTACGTATTATCTATAAATTGTATGGTCGAAACTTTAAGTATGTTATCCGTCAATTTATATTAATTACCGCCCGCCTTTGTTTTTGGGGTGCTTACGAGTCATAAAAAGATACAAGATACAAAAAGCATGTGGACTTAACTAACCAATATTAGAAAAGTAACACTCCATATTTATTTACGTGTATGAAGGAGATACGAGACAATTTATATAACAAAATCTTTATGTTTATATACATAACAATGGAAAATTATCAAGAGCCGACAGGTGTCTAAACAACTTCCCGTAACTTTCTGCGTTAAAAACATAACTGAAGAAATAAATGGTTAAGATGTATTATACTCTCTACAAGAAAAATATAAATTCAACAACAAAAAGTAAACTGATGTTTGTATTACTCGTTAGTAATGTTATCTGCTTGTTTTAAGCACTTCCGTTTTCGAAATAGGCGTGTTTTGAAGTAATAAAAATAAACGAATAGCCAATAGGAAAGGAGTTATGTTGATATGAATTTACCTATGCACATAACAAGAATGAACATTTTTTAAAATTGATACTTTGTTCTTTGACATTCCAAACAAAATGTATTTCATATTGATTTATAATCAGATTTTCACATCTTGTTTAATTTATCCGTATTTCTTTTATGTTTTGAAGAAAAGTTCTTTTATACCTGTTGTAGGTTATATGCAGTAAAAATACACCTGCTCGGTGGCCTAATTTCCAAAATGATTTAGATTCTAGGTAAAACGTTGTTAAAATGGAACGGTTTATTTTCAAATTAACTTACTTTTGAGGTCAGCTTCATTTGAAATTTCTGAGGTATATCACAATTATTTTGCGTATGATAGCCGTGACAATCAATACTCTATATCGCTTGATATTATTATTATTATTATTATTATTATTATTATTATTATTATTATTATTATTATTATTATTATTATTATTATTATTATTATTATTATTATTATTATTTATCTGAACAAATAAACAAAATTCCTAAGGCTTATTGGAATTTCGTTTTGGGGGTTTGATTTGAGGGGTGTTCGTGTTTTTTTGTTTTTGTTTTATCAAGGGGGTAGAAGTTTTTTTTTACTGCTCTTATTTCATTTTCAAACCTCCATCAAGACGCTTACGATGAATGGTTTCCTATCAACTTTGGTGTTCTCGATCCCTCTTTGGTTCCCGGCAATGAACATAACCACGAAGAATCCCAGCCTCCAAGTACAGATTCTGTTTATATTGAATTTGGTAAATTTCCTGCAGAAGATTTGTTTCGATCCACGCTATCAAAAGAGCATGCAACTGCAGTGGCCCTTAAAGTTAACACATTTATTCCAACGGAATCTTCAAGTACAACCTATGAAGCCACAGCTTCTTTGTCTTCCACAAATGATGAAGACACGGGAACGATTCTCCCAGATGACATATTTACTATCTCAATGAATGGGGTTCAAATGTCAAACTTTTCAACAGTAGAACACAACTCAATTAAAAACACAGCATCAAGTACAACTGGGTCGTATGATACGTCAGTGAAAATGGTATCGCCAGCAAATATTTCAAACGCACGGATTGCAAGTACTGATAATTCATTAATCAAGAACAGCAGTGTCGAAAGCGTTATGGATTCAAGTACAACTGCTGACTCGGCAACGTGGACATGGTTCGAAATTACCACCTCAGTTAAAAGTGACGGCGATACAACTATCTTCAATGGAACATCATATATTCATCGGTTAGAATGGTACTTAGTTTTATATATGTTTTTGCCATTCATAGTATTAAAACTAATATCAATTACAATGTGAAGCAGCAATGTTACACTGAGAAAAGAACGATATTACAAAATTAATGACATTTCAAGGCTGTTGTTTGTTTGTTGTGGGTGGTTCTTTAAAAACATTTTCAAATTTTTTTTATACTGCTAAAACACGTATGTATTTTTGTAACCAAACAAAAAAACCACACCTTATGTGACTTTTTAATCAGTATCGCATTTCGTCTACATATACTACAGAATGTATTTTAAGGAAATCAACACCATTTTCGTACCATCCGCTTACATTTGCTATTATATTTCTTTCTCCTGGTGGTCCTGCGTTGACGAGTCGTATTATGCGCTTGCCTTTTCATATCACCAACATCTCACCTCTGTGTGGATTCCAGTCTAGGCTCGGCTAGAGTGAGAATGTGAGAAAGCTTGCCAGTAGCTTTCTTTGGGTCGGTGGCTCTTTCCGAGGTTTTTCCAGATTCCTATTCCACCTTGTATATTGACCGTCATGTATAGCCTACACATGAGCTGAAATTTTGTGCTAATCCCACAATAACAACATACATCGCCTGTTCTTTAAAATGTTTAGTAAGTCCATTTTACACATGTTAAGTGATCAATAGATGTCCAGAAAAATAAGTCGCGGTAGCTCGTTCTGTTGATCTTAGTTCTCGTAGAACTAGGGTCATAAGTTCGATACCTCTCAAGGCCACATTGGATCGGCTGCCTCGGTGTATCCCTGAGAAAAGCACTTAGCCTCCATTTCTTCAGCATGATATAGCCAATAGCTAAAATGATCACCCACCCACCCCTAATCAATAGAATAAATTCACCCTTAAAATCTAATGGAAGGAGTATGTGTGTTTCTGGATTTTTAACGCTACGATGTCTACAGTCTGACAGTTTATAGTAATGTCAAGCACTGAGGCATCATGCCGCAGACATGTAGCATCATGTCCCACCCAATCACATTATCCTGACACCAGACGGACCATTCCTAACACTAACCTCTTAGTGTTGAGCGCTAAGCGAGGAAGCTGCTAGTACCACTTTTATAAGTCTTGTTATGACTCTGTCGGGGTTCGAACCCGCGACCTCCCGCATCCGAGGCGGATGCTCTAACAACCAGGCCACGGGAGCGGGATATAGGCATATTCTGATTATGCCAGACTGAGGTAATGCGTGTATTCCAATATTGTTCGGTCAAAAGACACTTAAAGAAATTAAATGTTTTGTTTTCAATTTGGGTTGAACGCCATTTCTCAGTTCAAGATAGACTATGCATGTCAGCGAGTGATAGGCTATACATGACGCTCAGTGTAACTTGTGGAGGAAGAACCCCAGTAAGAATTACCAACCCATAGGAAGAAATGCACAAGATTTCTCACATACCTATATTGACCGAGCCCCATACTCTAACCAACCCAGACAAAGGTGAGTTGGCAGTGATCGAAATATGGCGAGCGCTTCAGACCACTCTGACACCTTTGACTTCGAAGCGATTCCATAATCGTCCCAAACATAGGGCAGGTTCACTGAAATTTTATCTGACCAAAATATTATATAAAGGTCGAGACAAACAGAAAGTGAAGTGATGTTTTGGAAAATTTCTTTATATATATATATTATCTTTTAAATGTTTTATACCGGTATTCCATTTTATATCCAGTTCACGTTTTTAAAATAAAATGGTACTTGATATGTACAGTAATTCAAAATTATAGCCCATTTCATACCGAATTTAACCGAGTTGCTCCGTAATTATCCGAAAACACCCGAGTCCCTTTATACTCCAGCCAGTCAAACGCTGGTTGGCATATGTACACCACAAAATGACGCTACATTAAAACGATACGAGCCCATGTGAGCAAGTGGATCTAATTTAATGATTTATGCATAAATGTAAATAATCCACAGACTTTCACAAACAAATGTGATAAACTCATATTAAACACATCTCATTTTAGTGACGTTTAGGATACAAATAAATAGTTTGAACAACTTGCTCTCTGATTGTCAGGATTAAATTTTTAACATCGACACCGTTTCTATACTCACATGCACATGTCCAGATGTAAAAAGCTCATACCTACTCTCTCGTATGGCTTTAAAATCCACCCTGGTATCCAGAAAATAATACAGGATGGTTCCAATATTAAATTTAGTCAATATCTGTGGCATCATAGCCGTTGAATATGCATTTTTCAACTCGATAAACGAAGCTGAAGTAGTTGGAACAATTGATGCTAATGCTGAGGCGTCCGCCATGTTTTGACTACCAGCTATCGATTGGATATTGCAGACATCTGACCGCCCGCCATGTGATCAAAATTCCGAGCAAATTACGAAGTTTGCCGAAGTCTCCATTCTATGCTGATGCGTCCGCCTTGTTTTGACCACTAGTCTGGTCCCCTGCTTAGAATTCTCCCTACGATGCACTCCGCTATATTATACTAGGGAGCATACTAAGCAGGGGACCAGACTTTTTGCCTACCAGCTATCGATTGGATATTGCGGTCAGTTGACCACCCGCCATGTGATCAAAATTCCGAGCAAATTACGAAGTTCGCCGAAGTCTTCATGAAATGGTCTATACCAGAAAGTGGGATATTGTTTTAAAATAATTATAGGTTACTCCATTTGAATGGGATAATATGAACACGTTTTTTGGATGATTATACTGCACGAACTTGGGAGTGTAGATATCCATCCGAAAAAAATAAAAGTTCATATTTTCTCATACAAATATGCTCATTTTCTTATTCTTTCCAATGCTAAAATATATAAACAAAAATACACTACAATAAACAAAGTAACCGAATTGTGCCGTCTTCCAAACTAAACATACAAACATAGCTGCATCGTTGCACAACATTATTAATGCGTACGTAGCTCCGCCCAGACAAATTTGAAGTTGGTCGCGCGCTAGACGTAAGATTTGAAAGAAAATGGCGTTTGGTCTACTTAAAATTGAAAATTGGAGTAATAGTGTTAATGAATACGCATTGTAACAACTTTTCCATTTGATCTGGAATGAATACCTTTTGGTATTTTTTTTTTCAATTCGACGCAATTTTGTGATTTTTATCTGGATTTATCTAATAAAAAAATTTATATCAGATTTCAGCAGCGTGTGCCAATTTAATCGTATTGAAATGTATTGACATCGACATGGGTGTTTTTGTTCTGTCATTGAATGATATAGATCATAATGTCGGACAATTATGAAGCCTTTCAATTGCAATTATCGAAAAGATGTGGAATTTAATGTTTATTTCATTTTGAGTGCAGTAAGGAGGATGTAACTGCACTTGGAATATACTCGAAAATATAGTACAATTTTGAAATGTGTAATCATCCTTGAAAACCCATGATATGGCTCATGTAGTTGGGATTTGCAGAACTACGAAAGTATATTTTCAGGAAATTCAGGAGGTAAGATTTTAAATATATTTTGCCATTTTTGTTACCAGCTAAGGAAGACTGTATATATATATATATATATATATATATATATATATATATCTATATATATATATATATATATATATATATATATATATATATATATATATATAGTTTTACATTCGTGTTATTGCGAGGACCCTGTATGGCGTCAATAGCTAGCCTAATTCTGAAACATTGTATCAAAAGTTATCGCAGAATGTGCCAAAGCAATTTGTATGTGTCAGTCTCTGAAACATTTGCTGGTATGTGGCAGTCCATAAAATATCTGCTTTAGTTCATTCATAAAAAAATTGTTTACGTTAGAAAATAGTTTCTTTTTCTCGTGCATATAGTATAAATGTGGCGCGATAAGTGTAATATCGGAGAATACTGAACGATTCTGACAATGTAAAGTAAACGGAGAAAAAAATGAGCATATAATAATATCGAATACTTAATAATAAATATTTTCATATTAAACTTTCACACATCTTTGATATAATCCATAAAAGTTGATGTCATTAATTTAAAATTCATTTTATGGTATAAATGTTCATTGTTCTCCAATGGATGATTTCCGCTCCAGTGACCTAAGTGAATAGAGCGTTCGCCTTGGATGCGAGAGGTCGCGGATTTGTTATTTGAATTTTTAACGAAGCTTTAAAAAAAATCAGTTATATCGCTACAACGTCTGCAGCTTGGCAGTTTATAATGATGTCTAGTACTGGGGCATCACGCCGTACACATTATGTCCCACCCAATCAAATTATCCTGACACCAGCTCGACCAGCCCTTACACTAACGTCTTAATGCTGAGCGTCAAGCGAGGCAGATGCCTGTTAATTTTAAAAGTCATAGGTATGACTCGGCTGGAGTTCGAAATTGTGACCTTCGGTATCCGAGGCGAGCGTTCTAACCACTTATGCCACCGGAACAGTTTTTTGAAAAGAGAATTGACGTTTTCTTTCATTCGACATTACATCTTACAAAAATAATTCTTTACTATGAAGAATATCAAAGATTGTCCGATTTATTCACTTTTTGAAACTAGCTGAATATAATGTTTTCATATTTTCTGCAGTTTGCCATAGTTTGGACTGTTTTGAAATTGCTTGAATTTTTGCGAACGATATTTTACTGTTCAGACAGAAGTAGAATGGATTGTTTGATTTATTTTGGGGAAACGTAATGTAACAGGAATATAATTTACCTCCATTGTTCTATTGGAAATATAGCCAGATTGAACATGTAAATATCTAAACCCTACAATAATTTTTTTTAAAAATTTACCATATTAGTGGCATAAGATGGATGTGTATGTGAGTGCGCGCGCGTGTGTATGGCGTATGTGTGTGTGTGTGTGTGTGTGTGTGTGTGAGAGAGAGAGAGAGAGAGAGAGAGAGAGAGAGAGAGAGGGAGAGAGAGAGAGAGAGAGAGAGAGAGAGAGAGAGAGAGAGAGAGAGAGAGAGAGAGAGAGAGAGAGAGAGAGAGAGAGAGAGATGATTTATTAAAAGTTCTACCTCAGGTACTGTTGGAAATAGCTGACTTTGGACTCGTATGTGTACATATGAATGCATAGTTGTATATAGTCTGGGAAAATGGTACAATTAATGGCAAATGAAAATTATTTGGATTCAAAGTCATTTAAGATAAGTGTTTTCATGTTATATCTCTTTTTCATTATGTATTCAAACGTGTTATCTTTGTTCACCAAGTTTGACTCTTTTGGCTAAATATATTTAAATGTATAAATATTGAAATAAAGGACTGAATGATGAATGTGTTGGGTCCCTTACAGTTTTAGATGTTTGAGTCTACTCTTTCTGGGAACTTCGTAATATAATTTTGTGCTCCATCTCTTAAACTCCTACATGAATAATGAAAAGGTCGTTATTAGCACAGCAAGAATAATAATAATATCAACTTAAACATATTAATCTTAATTAATCTCGTAAATTGTACGCAAACGCACTCCACTTTATTTTGCATTACATGCTAAAGGTAGAACCGAGACTAACGTTTAATCCAAATTATTTAGTACGGTGCTTTATGCAATATCGGAAAATGTCGACTCCAAACGATTAACGATTCGGGAAATGTTTAAGATTAAATGCGCATGTCAAAATAATATCCCGGGTCATGTACAGTTTCATCAGTCCGGTGACTCTAGTCCATTTGACGTCACTGCAGTTCAGTGACTCGAATTAATTTGACGTTACTGTAGGTACCCCCCTCCCTATTGTGGATGCTATGAATTGCTTTCTGATTGCGGGAAGCAAGTGTGTCGTTGTGTATGTAACAGTACAAGAGTATCCTTCGTCTCAACATCCCAAAGAATATACATATTACTGTACGTTGGATGAGAAAATTTAAAAAAAAAATATTTTTACAAATGAGAGATCAAATTCTCTCAGTAAAACACGGTTCTACTCACAACCATGCTTATCTAAAAGAAATGTATCAATATTAAAATCCCTTTGCAAACGTAGCGATATTAAAGTCCCATTTCAAACGTATCGTTGTGAAAGTCTCATTGCAAACGTATCGATATTAAAGTCCCATAGTAAATGTGTCGATATCAATGTTGGCGAAGATGTTCTTAGTATCTTAGTACCATGAATACATAATTACAGAAATACTAAAAAACAACGAAAGTTCAAATTACGAGAGAGAGAGAGAGAGAGAGA